TTTGGGGCATAGCTAAGTCAAGCATCCCTGCGCCCCCTCCCAGAGCTGGTCGAAGCTTCTGATGCCAAGCTAGGCCCAACCTGTGCCTCCTCATTGAGCCAATCCAAGCACTCACCAGACAAAGTGCAACTGAAAGTGGGAGCAAGAGCCAGAAGTTCTCTAGTCCTCCATGCTGTGGCATATCGGGCAAGCTGTGCACCTCGGACCGGGAAAGCAGCCGGGTACTCAATCCCCTCTGGTGGGCAAATCTGATCATGACCGAACTGACGCAGGAACCGGAACGGAAAGTAAAATACACAGTGGGTGAGACCAACCAACTGGATCCCGATCAACCGGGACATGCTATAGCTCATTGCCGGGAGATTGAGCCAAGGACAACGCCAAGCGATGCAATTTGCAGACAAATTGCACATCCAGTCAAACCACCACCTTTCATCAAGGGCATCAACTAGACGTTGTCGAAAGAAATAGCATCGCGCTGAGTAGGCCGGGCAAGAGTCCACGACCTGTAATTTGTCCATCAACCATACCTGGGGAGGGATGAAAAATGAGAGAATAAAGAATAGAGAGATGTACGATGAGAGAAAAGTGAGAAAAGGGTTTTGTAAGAAAAACCGAGCCTGAGGGCCGAGTGATGTGAACAATATATATGTGAGAAAGGATAGGAAACATTACCTGCAGCAGTAGTGGACTCCCCGCGAATCTGGTTGTCTCTCGGCGATAGAAAGCATCCAAGCCCATCAGCATCTCGGCCAATGTCATGATAATGCAGCTCTTTCCTTCCTTCAAGCCTTGAGCAACTTCAATCAGACGAATGCTAGATCCGCTAAAGCTCGGGGCAAGCAAAAAGTGAGATAGCATACACAAGCAAAGGGCATGTTGCCGAAAACCTTGCCAATGATGGTCGTCGCGGTTGCCGGCGTCAGAAAAGCGATGAATCAAGCCAAGGATATCCAGTTCCCCATTGCAGATTAGAGACCGAGCATCATGCATGGTGAGCCCACACATCTGTCCTAAAGCTTGGGCGTGACCGAAGTGAAACTGGGACAAAATCTCTTCATGGCATTTAGATTCCATCAAAACTTGAAAATCTTCGAAGGTCGGACACATCTCTTGCCCGCCGAAGCTAAAGACATGTGTCATCGGGTTCCAAAACCTCGCCGCAGCATGGAGGAAAGGAAGGTGCAACGAAGTACGGCTCAGCGTGAATAGTGCATTCAAGCCGAAGCCCATGAAGTTCAACTTTTTCGAGTCGTCTAAAGTAGCAATCCAAGCTGCGAGATTTTTGACGAGAAACGCCTCTATTTTGGTGCAAAACTGAGGTGAAATGAATGAGCCATGGAGCTAGGACTTTTAAAGAGGATAAGGCACTGTTCGGGGGACACGTGTCGAAAAACTGGTGGTTGCTGAGCTAGGTGGTCGGCCGACCACCTTTTCTGGTAGGCCGACCATCCCCTTGGCCTCCAATTGAAAAAGCTAGTCGGCCAGCTCCCTTAGGTGGTCAGCCATGGAGGAAACTGCTCCTGTGGTCATGTTCTAGCCTCTAGAAGGAAGTTCCTAGCATTTCCATGCATCGGGAGTGTTGAAGGTGCGAGTTTTCCTCAGTTTCAGATGCATTCCGTCACATACAATCGTCCGAAATGCCCTTTGTTTATCGAGTTGTTGTTAAGTCTTACTTATCGAGTTGTTGTCTTGCTTATCGAGTTGTTATTTCGTTTGTCGAGTTGTTAAGTTTCGTTGGGCTGTCAAGTTTTGTATATTGAGTTGTTACTCTTTGATTAATCAAACGTTTTTAATCAACGTTGTTGTGTCTTGTTTATCGAGTTGTAAACTTGCTAAGGTTTTGTTGTTTCTTAGTAAGCTAAGTTGTTTAGTTTGTTGTGTCGGTTCACTACCTGACTTGGCGAATTTTCGATGCTCAATTCTCATTCAATCTCATTTTGTGCAAAATGATGCGATGCGATGTAGGAACATAAAATGCAACACTCTTTGAACAAAAACTGTTTCATCCCAACATGCTTCCTTTGTTACAACATTTTACAAACAAGGGTACAAGTTTTACAGAAAATAAAACTGCCTAATAATGTACAATGTGCTACAATTACTAGTAAAAAGGTAAATAAAGTAGGGAACAGCTGCATCAATGCTCTCAAGCACAGGAGTAAGAGGCCCTCTTCGTCCTCTTCTGCGGAACAGCCTCAGCATCATCATTGCCATCTAAGTCAGAGCTGTCATCCTCGGGATCCTCCTCGGCCTCATCTCCAGAACCGGAACCGGAACCGGAACCACCCTCTCTGTCAGCAGATGTCTCTGACTGGGGATGCGCAGGCTCCTCCTCCTCGCTGGACTCCTCCTCTATGATAGGTGCTCTGCGCCCACCTCGTCTGCGAGACGACTCCCCTCTCCCAGCTCCTTGAGAAGGCCTAGATGGCCCAGCTCCTCGGGAAGGCCCAGATGGCCCGGCCTGTGGCTCGGTATGTAGCGGAGGCATTTGAAAAGAAAGAGTGCAATACATCAGCCAAAGTATGTATATCAGATGCAAATGCAAGAAAACTACATGAAGTGGGTGCATGCACATACAGTACATGAATGTGGTGTGTGTCAGGTGTGCTCTATACATACAGTCAATCAATACAATAAGATGTTCAAGTTCAATATGTCATCAGAAGTATGATAAATGCGAAAAAATTAAAGAGTACCTGGAAACTGAGGATGGACAGTTGCGCCTCTCTCCGCAAGACCATGCCCTCGAGCGAGGCCACTAATCCGAGCATCCCATCCATGTACTCTCTGGGTGGCTGCAAATACAAGCTCAGATCATCAATGACTAAATGAATGCCTAAGTATCTGAGTGATAAATTAAAAGCAGTAGAGCCTACCGGTGGTGAGTCAGGGTCACTGACATATCGATGATCAGGCATAGGAGGCTCTATTGGAATCGGGTAGGAGCTCCCGTATCGCCAACCCGTCAATTCGGTCGGAATGTCTGGCCATCCTACATGATGATAAGTCGGGGGAATCGGGGGGACCAGTCTAGCCCCATCCCTAGATGTACCAGCCCTACTGGTCGAAGGAATGTCTCTAGCTCGGGTGCGACTCGAGGATGGCATGCCAGTAGACCTCCTCGTGGGGGTACGAACACCTGCCAATGGAGGCATCAAATATGTATGACGGTAGGTCACGTACTCTCCGTCCTCCAAGTGTAGCAACACATCGGTGCCCAACCTGGTGTCAGTAACACCCTGGGGAGTGAGCCTATCGGCGGACCGCATGTTGACCGGAGGTGCTGCAGGGACACTCTGCTCGGGGTAACCCATAGTCTGGCGAAGAAAGCATTCCCCCAGGAACCAGGCCCTACCAACCGGACCCTCAAACAGAATCCTGTACCGAGAGACGGCCCATCCTCCGGCAAACTGAAATCGGAGGTCCCCACCTAAAGGCACCCAAGGCTGCCATGCAATTTGCAAATAACCAATGCATAAGCCAGTGCAAATTGTAAATACAAAATGCTGAGAGCAAAGTGCAAGGTACAGAGTGTAAAATGCGTCGTGTGTGCAATGTGCAAGTAATGTAAAGAAGAAATGTAAATCAAAAGGACAGAAAGTACCTCCTAGGCTCTCCAATAGCCGCCGAGTATGTTCCCCTGTCCGCGGGAGGTCGCACTCATATAGCAATAAAGAGTAGCCAGACTAGTGCCACCCCAATCATACCGCCGGACCTGTGATAGGTCCACTAGGGCACTCAACAGATAGAGCCCGACAGTGTTCCCCCTATCGGCAAACAGAGTGGTCCCGATGAGGAACATCAGAAATTCGCGGGTATACTGGGCTACCTCCTCAGGAGTCTTAGGCTCCATCTCCACCCTCCGGAAATGGGAAGAAAACCAAGTATATCGGACCCTGCCCGAAGATCTGTCAACTGGCGGGCGAGCTCCCAATAAGTAGATCCAGGCGGCCTCCCATTGGCCCATGTCCTTGTCATATGGGATCGCCCAGCCTCCCGCATCAAGGCCGATCAATATGGCGAAGTCAAATGGGGTCATAGTCATGTCCCCAGTGGCAAAGAAATGAAAGGAGTTGGTGGTGTCCCACCATCTCTCCACCAAAGCACCCATCAGCGTCCTACTAGCCGGACAACGAGATATCCCAGAGTAGAAGGGCCCAAACCCTGCCAAGTCAACCAAATCCCGGACAGCCTCCGGGAGCTCCGCATACCACTCCCTAGCCGCAACGGAGCCATATCCTCGTACGATACGAGAAGTCACCTATATTCAGAATAAATACATATATTCAGTCTCAAAATGAAATAAATGAGTTGCGTGCAAATGAAATAAATGAGCTGTGTGCAAATGAAATGTATGAGCTGTGTGCAAACTAAAACAGATACAATGCAATAAGCTGCGTGCAAATCAAGTATTTGGGCTGTGTGTTCAAATCTCAAAATCAGCGGGCTGCGTGTTCACCTCAATCTGGGCTATGTGTTCAGAAATTCAAGGTTTGGGTTGCGTGTTCAACCTGTTAATCAGTGGGCTGCGTGTTCACCCTCAATCTGGGCTGTGTGTTCAAGAATTCAGTATTTGGGCTGTGTGTTCAAATCTCAAAATCAGTGGGCTGCGTGTTCACCTCAATCTGGGCTGTGTGTTCAGAAATTCAAGGTTTGGGTTGCGTGTTCAACCTATTAATCAGTGGGCTACGTGTTCACCCTCAATCTAGGCTGTGTGTTCAAGAATTCAAAGTTTGGGCTGCATATTCAAATTTCAAAATCAGTGGGCTGCGTGTTCACCTGAAAGTTCGGGCTGCGTGTTCGACGTAAAATGTTTAGGCTGTGTGTTCAAATTTTAAAATCAGTGGGCTGCGTGTTCACCCTCAATCTGGGCTGTGTGTTCAGAAATTCAAAGTTTGGGCTGCATGTTCAAATTTCAAAATCAGTGGGCTGTGTGTTCACCTTAATCTAGGCTGTGTGTTCAAAAATTCAAAGTTTGGGCTGCGTGTTCAACCTTCTGTCAAGTGTGTGTTGTGTGTGCACCTTCCATTCAGGCTGTGTGTTCGGAAATTCAATTCAAAGTTTGGGCTGTGTGTTCAACCTTCTGTCAAGTGTGTACTGTGTGTGCACCCTCCATTCAGGCTGTGTGTTCAGAAATTCAAGTGATTGAACTACGTGTTCAAGATGCAAACAGAATACGGTGTCATAGACTAAAGCATTCTAAACAAGCGGTGCACTCAAATGAGCGGATAAACATAACATGGAATGCATGGAAAATGCAGGTTACATCGCAGAAAATATGAAAGCGAGGAACATACCTCCTGCGCCTGATGGGAGAGGTGGGACTCCGGCTCCCGCAATAAAAGATCCTCGGGTGCTCGATCATCGAAATCGGTAAAATGGTAGAAAACTGCCTGGGGGAGCACATGTGTCGGAGGGTCGTACCTTTCGGGTATGAAGGGTCGAACCCTTGGAGGCAGAGCCATGATATCGGGATCATCCCCGGCGCCCGGAGGACCTCCACCGTGAGGGAAATGACCAGCCATTTCAGAAAAGGAGCAAAAATGAGCAAAATGAGCCAAAATTAGAAAAAAATCAACAAAAGTCAACTCTCGGGAAACGAAAAAGCCAACAAAAGTCAACCCCCG